AGCGCACGCAGGCATTGTGGTGTACACTGGTGCTGTGCGTGTTGCACACGGCTGATGTGGTGTACGCAGGCGCTGTGGTGTACACGGGCGCTGTGATGCCCGCAAGCACTGTGGCACACACTGGCGCTGTGTTGCGCCCGGCTGCTGTGGTGTACATAGGCGGTGTGGTGTACACAGGCGCTGTGGTGCACGCGTGCATTGTGGTGTACACAGGCGATGTGGCGCAGACCATTCTTCGGCATTCCCAAACGCCGCCGACGCGAAACGTGACGTCATCGGCCCCCTCCCCCCCCCAAGAAGACTGCCATCATCGGCCCGGAAATACAAAATAGGCTCCAACCGCGCCCGCGCGCACGACGATGAGCGACGAGCGACGAGGACGAGGACGAGGACGAGAACGAAGACGAGGACGAGGACGAAGACGAGGATGAGGATGGAAACGAGGACGAAGACGAGGACGAAGACGAGGATGAGGACGGGGACCAGGACGAGGACGAGGACGAAAACGAGGACGACGGCTGCAGACCAGACTCCTATGCGGATTCCTATGCGGACACCTATGCGGATCCCGATGCGCACGGCGGCACTGCCCGGAGCGCACTGTGGGGGGGGGGGGAGCGTTACGTCATAGGGGAAGGGGCGCGGGGGCCTTGACGCCCGTCATGCCCCAAACAATAAAGAAACACTCTCCAACAATGCTCTTTACGGCCCTTACCTTAAGGGTGGGAGCAAGCCGGGCCATCTTGCTCGGCACGCTGTTCCACCACCAATGACGCCGCTGGCTTACTCCCCTCGGGCTGCCAGACATCATGCAAAAGGAATCCTCGCCTGCCAGTTCGCCTGCGCAAGTCTCGGCAAGCTCGCTGCTGAACCCTGAAGTACCTTCTTATCGGATGCCAGACGTCGATTCCTTCGGCGTGCCGTCCTTGCCTCGTCCACCGCTCCGCTAGGATCAGAAGAGCAATGCTGTAGTGCCAGTCTGATTGACGCCGAGTTCACGCAGCGGACCATTGTGATTTGCAGCAGCACGACCCGGCCACGCTTGGGATGATGACCTACGTGCTTGCCAAATACCAGGGCCGGGAGGATCTACTTTACTTCAAGATGTGCAGATAATACTGAAGGCGACGTAGTGTACCATCCTCATTCCTGACCGATCTGGGCTCTGAAGAAGGGGTATGATATTACACGCAAGCCCGTTACGAGACATGTTAAAACCCTTCCCCAACTCCGCTGCCCAGGAAGGGCCATTAATATATCATCCAATTTTACCCTTCCCCACACCATGTCGGCCGGGGGTTGGTTCACCAAAGAAATCGAATGGTCGAAAGGTGAACTGGTATCATAGAAGCTGGCGGCGGCCCCCAGGGGGTGGGTTCAAGAAAAATCGCAGGCGGGCGAAAGGCGAACGGATTTTCCGAAGTTGGCGGCGGCTCCCAGGGTGGATCATTTTGCAAATCAACACAGATTCCCAGATGCACCTTCGCCAGAAGTAGCGGATCGGGGCGACACAGACGACGACGAACTGCGGAAAATGAGCCCCATGAGCCTCTTGCGAGCGAGGACATTTGGTGTACATTTGGGGTTCTGGGAGGGGAGGGGGTGCAACGAAAGGTCCAGCGACGACGGTGACCAACGACGACGAACAACGACGAATGCCGACGCCGCCGCCGACGACGACCACGACGACGACGACGACGACGACGACGAGGACGACGACGACGACTTGCGGACGCCCCATGGGGGGGGCGCGCCAGGCCTGGCGACGACGAGCGACGATGACGACGACGACGACCCACCGACGAAATTGCGGATGCCGCACGGGGGGGGGCTGGTTGGCGAGTGGGTGACTGGGCAAACAAAATGCTCCGCGCGCATCGCATTCCGCATTCTTGCTGGCCGCGGACGCAAACGAAGGCGTCAAAGACAGTGCCGCTGACCAAAACGCTTTCCGTAACTTTTTGGCCCCGCGAAGGGGGCGTGGGCGTTGACTAATATGATGAACTGTTTCCCCGCGAGGCGCGCGTGCAGCAGCGCGGGTGGGTAAAAGAGAAGCCGACGGATTTTGCCCGGGAGTTCACCAGGAAGGGGTTGGGGGCCGTAAAGCCCCTTGCCCCCCTTAGAAGAAATACGATGTGAAGAAGGAGGAGGAAGAAAAGGAGGAGGAGGAGGAGGAGGAGGAGGAGCAGGAAGAGGAGAAGGAGGAGGAGGGAGTGAGGGAGGGAGGGATGAGGAGGAGGAGCAAGAGCAAGAGGAGGAGGAGGAGGAGGAGGAGGAGGAGGAGGAGGAAGAGGAAAAGGAGGAGGAGCAGGAGGAGCAGGAGGAGGAGGAGGAAGAGGAGGGAGGGAGGGAGGGAGGGAGGAAGGAGGAGGAGGATCGCAGTGTAGCGCTAATGCCCCTGAGGGTAGGCATGACCCTGTCAGTCGGATGGGGCACATAGGCTCGCCCATCCTTGATGCGGTGCTCGTGAAGGTTGGGGTGACAACCCTTATGGTCCCAGAGCCTGGGCGGGGACCGTTGAAGGCACCGTGTAATGGTGGGTGGTACGTGTGATCGACATACCCGAGACAGCCACCTCTGTTCGACGCATTCGGTTAGGCGGTGGGGGCTTCGCGACAGGTCACGTCACCGCCTAGGGGGGATGGAGGTGAGCCGACCTCCTGACTGAATGCACTCGCGTGGTGGTGGTGGCGGCCCTCTTCGAGGACATCTCGCCCCGACCGGGGCCTGAGTGAGCCCCAAGGGCGGAAGGGTTCCGCCCCTTCTCTCCCGTCCCCTCTCTCTCTCTCTCTTTTTCTCACCCTATCCTGTTCTTCTTTTCCGGTCCTCGTGCGTGCCCTGTCTTGCCTTCCCTTTCCTCCTCCTCCTGCTGCTGCTCCTCCTCCTCCTCCTCCTCCTCCAGCTCCTCCTCCTCCACCTCCTCGATCTTCTTCCTCCTCCGCCTCCCTCCCGCCCTCTCCTCTCCTCTCCTCTCCTCTCCTCTCCTCTCCTCTCCTCTCCTCTCCTCTCCTCTCCTCTCCTCTCCTCTCTTCCTCCTCCTGCTCCTCCTGCTCCTCCTCCTCCTGCTCCCGCTCCTCCTGCTCCCGCTCCTCCTGCTCCTCCTGCTCCTCCCTCCTCCTCCTCCTCCTCCTCCTCTCCTCATCCTCCTCCTCCTCCTCCTCCTCCTGCTCCCTCCCTCCCTGCCTCCCTCTTCCTCCCCCACTGGGGGGGCGGATCCCTCTTTACCCCCTCTGGGGCTGAGGCCGCCTTAGGTCTGAGTCTGAACAGGCTCCCTCGTTGTGGGTCGCCCCATGTCGCTCTCTCCGCTGGCTTTTTGAGATTAGCCGCTCGCCGCCTCCCCCGCCTCTTGCGCGTGTGCGTGTGATTGGGGCACTGCACGCGTGTCAGGTCAGAGACTTTCATGTTTTTTCTCACCTTTATGTTTAGGCACTGTCCTGTCTTCGTGCGGCGGCAGAAGAGACCTGACTCCAGGGCCAGAGCTGTCCGCGTACAGTGCACCGAGCACGCCCAGCGTGAAGCCGATCGGACGTCATTGCTCCTCCTCCTCCTCCTCTTCCTCCTCCTTCTCCTCCTCCTCGTCGACACCAGGACTGTAATCTGCTGGCGAGGACCAAAGCTTCCCCAGCGCAGCTGCGTTGAGGCAGCCGCCACATGTGCTCGCCCACCGTGTTCCAGAAGTGGCAAGCCAGCGAGTGCTTCAGATTGTTTGGTTCGGGAGGCAGTTTCTATGGCGTCCGAAAAGCTGTGCTCGAGGCCATGAAGGCTGCCGACGAGGTCCTCGGACCCGTGGAGGCTCCCAAAGCATCTTGGCGAGCATATTGGCGAGCCGTCTTCCAGCACGAGATGCAACAGAGTGTCCGTGCCGTTTTTTGCTCACTGTGATCGGCCTACTGACTCCCACCGGATGGGTCCTGTCGTGGGCTCAGAGCGCCTTGCAAAGGTTCGGAGCAGTCATCCAAGCACTAAATCTTCACCCATACTCAAGATAAAGTATGCGGCCAGGGCTCAGCCCCAAGACAGGCGAGCCCTTTCTTTGGTGAGGTTCGTGACTGAGGGGTGGGGGCCTGTCGAGTGACGGACCCTGCCGACTGGCGAAGGGCGTCGCTACAACAGTGATGCGATGACCGCCCCCCCGACACTTTCGCAAGCCACCGAACTTCGCGCATCGCGCATCGCGCCCCGCAATTATCTTCGCGCCCCCCGCAGCGCCACCTTGGTGAAGGGCAGCTCTCCAGGCCAGGCCGCGACGCGCGAAGCGCGATTCGTCTTCGCGATCCCGGAGGTGGCCTAACTCTCAGCCGCGTGGACCGTGCCTCGCTTGTCGGTCGCGCTTTGTGTCCCCGGCGGGGCGAGAGTCTGGAAGGACGGCAAGAGGGAGGGCGACGATTAGCAGAGGGAGAATGCTAGAAGGACGAGGAGGAGGGCGGGGAAAAGGGAGGAGCAAAAGGAGGAGGAGGAGGAAGAGGAGGAGGCTTTATGTGGGCTCCTTCGCCGTCAAGTATCGAACGGCCTTCGGCCCATCCTACTACCGTATCTGGGTTGCGGGTCAGGGTGTTCAGGAAAGCTTTTTGGGGTCTCCTCGGAGTGTGAGGCTCTCTGGGGAAGGCGGTAATGGTGGGGTCGCGCACGTCATCGGAGATGGCGGTACGCTGCCACTCCTTCTCTGTCCCAGATGCCTCCGTGGGAACAGATCACGCCCCCAGTTGCTCGCACCTCGTACCTCTTCCTCCTCCTCCTCCTCCTCCTCAGCTCCAATCCTCATCCTACTCATTATCTTCCTTTTCTTCCTCCTCCTCCTCCTGCTCGTCGTCCTCCTCCTCTTCCTCCTCCTCCTCCTGCTCTCCTCCTCCTCCCCCTTCTCCTCCTGCTCTCCTGCTCTCCTCCTCCTCCTCCTCCTCCTCCTCCTCCTCCTCTTACTCCTCTTTCTCCTCCTCCTCCTCCTCCTCCTCCCCCTCCTCCTCCTCCTCTGCGGTCCCCTCGCGCGACGGGCGGCTCGCGTCCTATCATCAACCCCATGATGAAGACCAGCAACAAGACGCTCATCCCCGAATCTACCTCTCAAAGGGGGTCAGGGCGGAATCCGAGGAATCGAGCCGTGGTGGATGGGCTGCTTGGTTCCATCGGAGCGGTAGTGGGGCATGCCTCCTGTCGAGACAGAGTGTACCGTCAGCAGCACGCTGTATGCAGATATGTTAGCCACCCGTTCCCCTCCACCAAGTTGGGGTTTCGATTTGACACGCGGATGCGAGGGAGGATCTGGGAGGGAGAAAGAGCAACAGCAGGGGAGAAGGGTGGAAACTCCAAGCTTCACTCCTCCAGGGGGTGGAGGACGAGTGGAGATTCCATCCGATATCAGCGTGCGAAATCTCAGAACACTATACACTATACAGAAGTAGGTGGCAGATGGGATGAAGCTGATGGGCGGATGGCGGAACAGGTAGGATGTGAAGCAAGGGGGGCGGCGGTTACAGGGAGTTGCAGGGAGCGTGCCACCTCCCAGAGCTGGAATCGGCGATACATCGCCGATAGATCGGCGATAGGCCCCCGATAGCAAATCCACACGTTCCTGGGCGGGACGGGATATCGGGCCCCTTATCGGCGATAGATGCGCGATCGGGGGTAGATATTTCCTCCTTACATATCACTCCTCCTCGTCTGACCACTGGACGTGTCAGTAGGTCAGGCTGAGCTGTTCGCCTGATGCCTCCTAACAACTTCTGAACCTTCAGCTTAACACCCCCAACAGTTGCCAGGATGGAGGGCTGATCGCTTTCACAGTGGGGCTCTCGCTGTAGCGCCGAGCACGTTCGTCTTCAAAGATCACAACAGTCAGAAGGATAGAGAGAACGTAGTTTTCAGAATTGAGCTCTGGCCTCAGCGCCGCGAGCATTCGCTCTAAAAGCTCAACAGTCACGAGGATGGAGGGGCGTAGTTTTCAAAATGGCGCGCCGCGCACATTCGTCGTAAAAGCTTGTAACATATGGATGGCGGTTCTTTTTCAAAATGGGGCTCCCACCTTAGCGTCGTGCACATTCGTCCTAGCTCCTGACAACCGCTTAAGAAATTGAGGACGGCTCATTTCCAAAATAGGGCACTCGCTTGAGACTGTCACAAGCTCACAGAAGCTTGAGCACATGTAACAACAACACGGATGGAGGACGGTTCCTTTTCACACCTTCTCGCATGCTTCACTTTCGCCACCTTTCTCGGGACCCCAACGCCACGAATCAACCTTACTTTTGCGTCTTGACGATCCCCCAGCGTGGCAGAACACCACTCCTGTGACTTCAACACCGCGAGTCAACGCATCTCTTGCGCCCTGGCAATTCAAATTCGCTCCAAAACGCAATTTTTCTGGTACAGTGCGGGCGCGGTCGCAATGAACCCTTGCGGGAAACCCAGCCCTGAAAACCCGCGCGCGAGGTGCACCCGAGGGGAAACCCGGAGCACCCTGAACGCAGCAGCCTCTTCGACGGACGTGGGAAGTCACCGCGCAGCGCACGGAGCGAAGGAACCCAGGATACCCTGATGAAAAGCATATGGCTTCTCGATGCGTGCCCCCGCTGCACGCTGATCGTGGGAATCCGTGGAGATATTGCCAATGTGTGAGACGAGTGTAATGCGCGCGGCGTTAAGGCGAGAGCCACGATAGAAGGAGGAAAAACGGTATAACCACAAACTTGTGGCGCTCCGCGCGGATTTCTTGGATCTGCGCTGGACCCCCCCCCCCCCCCCTGTCGCGCGGAGCGCGCCAGCGGCGGCGCCGCAGGTGCCGCCGGGGGGGCCCCAGGCGCGGATCCAAGAAATCCGCGCGGGGCGCCAAACGCTGATGTTCATGGCGCTTTTCTCCTGTCCTCGGCACGCGGAGGAGCACGCAGGGCTCCTGCCTCCGCCGGCACGCATAGGGGGCCACATGCGAACCCCACCCCTACCCCCCACGATTTCTGAGGGGGAGGGTGGGAAGTGAACCCCACCCTCCCCCTCAGAAATCGTGGGGGGTAGGGGTAGGGTTCGCATGTGGCCCCCTAATGTTTCGCAAGGTGACTCAAAGTGCAGCCCGAGGGTCCTCGCCGAGGAAAAATGCACAAGTCCGAGCGCTGCCAAGCGTCGTGGGAGAGTGAAAACCTGGCCCGGGTCGACCTCGCTTCGCGCACCGCACCCCTCGCGGTGCGCGCGCGCGCGACGCGAGGTCGACCTACGCCTCTGCTTGAAGCGTCTTCCTACTTCAATGATCGAGCATGGCTTCACCTTTTTCTGTCCTCCCAACGGGGCAGACGGAACCCAGTCTACTCTCGGCGCCTTCCTACTTCATGTTCTACCTTCCTTTCTCGGTCGATGGGCAGACCTCGGGAGCGGCCAAGAGGGGGATGTCCAAGAGGGGGGGGTGCACATCATGACCGGCGGCATGTGCGCCGCCCAGCGGGGGGGCCCGGGACGTAATGAAATAAGAAGAGGCGCCATGAAATCCGGGGAATTATAATGGCCCACGCCATGATGTCCCCCCCCCTAGTCATCACGCCCCTCTTTTCCGCCCCCGAAGACCGCGCTCTCCACTCGATCGCGAGGTCGACCGCACCCCTCGCCTCGTCGCGCCCTCGCGCCCCCCCCCCCTGGAGGAGGACGGCCGCTCTGGCCCAGACTGCGGATCGCGCGATAAAAGCGCGCTTCTCCTCGCGCCTCTCGCGGGTGACCTGCGCTCTGGGACGTCGTCGGCTCCCAGGGATGACTACCTACCCGAAGACCCGAATTTCGGGTTGGGGGGGGTACGGGTTCCATATGTGTTTTCTCGATGTTCCCCGACCCCCCCCAACTGGAAATGGAAGGCAGATCGAGACCTTCGGGTTGGGTTGGGGTGGTTTGGTGGGTGGTGAAGGGACCCTCGCCGGGCCCGGGAACAGCAACAACCAGAGGCCTACTGGATGGGGCCGGAGTACATGGGGTCGGAGGATCTCACCGCATCGCCGATGCATCGCCGATGCATCGGCGATGCACCGGCGACGTCGCCGATGCATCGGCGCCGTCGGCATTGAGCAAATTGGGCTCCACATCGAGCCGTATCGTCGATGCATCGGCGATGCGGCGCGATGCCCAGAGGATCGTAACAAGAGCTCCTCGGGATGAGGAACCGGGCCTCAGGGAATGGGTCCAGACGTCGGGGGTTGGCCGTGGTGAAAAAATATGACGTCGGGGGTCTGGAAGTTCGGCACACCCTTCGCACGGGTGTGAGGGGCAACGTTAGGGGAAGATGAACGTTTTCTTATTCGGCGTTTTGACATTGGGCGGAAGCCGGGGTGGAAGGGCATGCGGTGGTAATCCCAACCGACTGGGTGTAATCCCAACCAAGTATGGGTAATTTCAACAGGCGAGAAAGACAAACTGTAAGTAATTCCAACCATCTGTTTCACTCCATCCCTTACTTATCATTCTGAAGCCCGAGATTTGCAACAGTCACAACATAATGGAGGGGGGTGGCTTTCAAAATAGGTTCTCGCCTCAGCGCCACGCACATCCGTCTTCAAAGCTTGCAAGAGCTTACAAAAGGATCGAGAGCAATGATTTTTCGAAGCGAAGCTCTCGTCCCAGCATCACGCGCGCTCTTCTTAAAAACTTGCAGTGTAGCAATCACAAAGGGATGGAGATGCGTGGACTTCAAGCTCTCGCCCACGCGCCGCGCACTTTCGTCTTAAAAGCTTGCAGGGGCTTGCGAAGAGGTCGAGAGCGGTTACTGTTCGAAGTGAAGCTCCCGTCCCAGCACCACGCGCACCCTTCGTAACAACTTGCGACGCAGCAGCTACAAGGATGGATATGCGTAGTTTTCAAATTCTCGCCAGATTGCAGTATGTTCAAGCATGGAAGGCGGCTCCTTGTCAGCATGGATTTCGCGTAAGGCTTCTTTCGACCCCGCGAGCTGGGCAGGACAGCCGGAGCCCTCTGAGCTGGGCAGGCGGGCCTCCAGCTGGCCAAGGGGCAGGAACGGAGGAGGATGAAAAACACGGGGAGGAAGACGGAGGAGGAGGAGGAGGAGGAGGAGGAGGAGGAGGAGGAAGCGGAGGAGAAGGAGGAGGAGGCGGAGGAGGAGGAGCAGGAGGAGGAGGAGGAGGCGGAGGAGGATGAGGAGGAGGCGGAGGAGGAGGAGGAGGCAGGAGGTTAGCGTCAGCGTGCTGCCAGTACGAAGATACCGCCATCGAGCCTCGGCCACGACGAGGCCGCACGACCCGGATCTCATGCTGTCGGCCCGAAAGCCAGGAGCCCAGCCCGAGCCCGAGGCGGCCCTTGACTTCAGCGCAGTGATTGTAGGCGGGGAAGAAAAATTGGAGGATGAAGAAGAAAGGAAGGCGAGGGGGAGGGGGGAAGGGGGAGGGGGAGGGGGAGCGGAGAGGGGGAGGGGGAGGAGGGGGGGGAGGGGGAGGGGGTAGGGGGAGGCGGAGGAGGAGGGGGAGGAGGAGGAGGAAGGGAGGGGGAAGGAGGAGGAGGAGGAGAGGAGGGGGAGGGGTAGGGGGGAGGGGGAGGGCGGAGGGGGGAGGGGGAAGGGGAGGGGCAAGCTAGGTGCGCTCGCGTCATTTCTGACGTCCTACCCCTCCCTCCCATCCCTTACATTTTTGTTACGACGACATGGGAGCGGTTACGGATGAAACTGACTCAACAGGTGGATGTGTCCACGTGTGGCGGATGCGACCATGCCAGCAACACCGACGCCCTGAGTGGCACCGCCGTACCCGCATTGAAAGTAAATACATTCCGTGCTCGTCGCTGCAGTGCCGAACTGCCTCTTGCCTGCTATGCTAGGCCTGCCGCTACAACGGTGCAGCACCCGTTTGGTGCGGGCTGGCAAGCGCTGTGCGTTGGAATACCCTGAACGGCGGCTCAGGGAGGAAACCCATCATCTGAACAGAATCCGAAGACTTACAGACGAGCTGTTCGAGAGGAATGTGCAAGGCAGCAGAGAAAAGTCCTGCTATGGCGGGTGGCGAAAGAAGGGGCGGGGGGGATCCTCCTCGCCTCCTCGGGGATAGCAGGAAAGAGGGAGAGTGAATAGGAGTCTAGCTACGGCTCTGTACGAGGGGGCAACAGGAGGACCTCGTGGAGCACACCAGGAGAACAAACATTCGGCGGCCTCCTCATCAGCGGCTAGATCATGGGTACGTGGCTCAGGATCAGCATTATCTGAAGAGAAGTCACCAGGCGTCTGATGTGAGAGGTCGGTCTCGGGAGCTGCTGCAGGCGTGGTCGCTGCAGTGGCTGGGAGTGTGCCACCAGGCACAAATCGGATCACCCTGTCATTCGTCGGAAGTGGCCCAGCCATGTCGATATCTCCTCCTCCAGCCAGCCTGCAGGGGCTGGGCCCAGGTGGTGTTTCGCAATCCCTTCTGAGCGCAGGCCAGCGAGAAGGAGGCCTCGTCCCTGCCAATCCTTGGCGCCGAGGGTCAGCTTGGCGGTGTTCGGGTCGTGAGTCTTGTCGACGCGTAGGAAGGCGATTTCGGTCTGGAGGGTCTCCACGTCGATCAATGGTTCGAGCTGAGGGTCCTCTGGCTGGCACTTCTCGAGGTACTCTTCGATATCCTTGCGGACTCGCCCCCCCGCTTCGCATGTCAGTGGCCCTTCCAGCATGGCGAGCGCGAGTGCGGGGGTCGGCGGGCCCAGCATCTTGAGCGCCTTTGTGTCCTTGTTGGTTCGGTAGGTGTTGACCCGCGTCTTGAAGCCCTCGAGTTCCGTCGAGATGTGGGAGAGCGTCGGGCGGTTGATTGGTGGCGTCCATGTGTCGGCCACCGTGCACATGATCATCCGCATCTTCTGAGTATGTTGAAGTGTGAGCGTCATCATCGAGGTGAGCAGCATCTGCATGGTCTTGTCTTTGTTCGTCCACTGCTTGTCGGTGTGTTGTCCTCGATGGGCTCGTCGTCCGCCTCTGCGTCGGGCGCGACGAGGCTCGTTCTGTAGGTCCGTGTCCATGTCGTCGTCCTCCTGGCCCGCTGCCGGCGTAGGTTGGCCCTTGCTGCCCTTGGTGCCCTCGACCTTCCGTCGGCGCTGGGGTGGTTCGTCGGTCTTGGAGTCGTTGCCAGAGGTGCCAGACTTGGTCAAGGACGGTGGCGGGCCTCTCCACGGGGCACGCGCTCCGCGTCGCGGTGCTTCGGGTTGAGCTGGCGTGTTCGGCGCCGCTGCTGGTGGCGCGCTGCTGTCCGCTGCTGAGGCCATCAGGTGGAGCTGGCGTCGGGCTGCTAGCTGGTTCTGCTGGTCGTAGTGGTCGCGGTGGCGTGGGAGTGGACGTCAAGGCCGTGGTAGTCGCACTGCTGGTGTCGTGCGTAGGTGGTGGTCGTCGGAATGGCGGCCGCCGAGCTCGTGAAGTAGTCGACGCTGTAGCTAAAGCTCGAGTATGTGTGCACAGCTGAAGCGTTGCTGCCCGTCGAATCTCGTGGCGAAGCAGAGCGGTGTCGGAAGGTCGCCACGGTGGGGCGGCGAGGATTCGCTCAGGCACTGTCGGTCCGCGCGGGCGTGCCTCCCTCGCCGAGCGAGGCATGGTCTCGAGCCAAGGGCCACGCGGCGACGGAGGGATGTGCGTGCGGAGGTGGAATCGGAGCTCGTCGAGGTCGTGATAATCTCGCTGACAATCGATGTTGGGGCTGATGTGTTCGAGCGGACATCGAGTGGCAGTAGTGGGCTGCCACGTGTACGTGTGGAGGGTGCGATCGATGAAGCATCGCCCTTCGATCCAGGACCGTCGATGATGAGTTTGGCAATACTTGATAGAACCGTAAACATTATCACAAACCAGGCATTTGTTGTCCAGAGTGATCGATGATAAGATGGTGGGGGCTCCGTGTCCTGGAAGTGCTGCTGTTGTTTGATGTGCAATGAGTGCGGAGAACGTGCGAAAGGCCTTGATGCAGCACTCGATGTTGCAGACGAACGGATTCGGATCCTCGGGGTCGCTGTCGGGGTCTCCCAGAGGGTCCTCGGGCGGCAAGAAGTGGCGACCTGGTGGGGCCCAAGACTGCGAGACGTACGCCTGCCGAAAGTAGCCGAAATCGATCTGCTGGAAAACCTCCTGGATCTCGGGGTCCCTGAAGAGCTTCCGGATGTCGTCATTAATGTCCCAGAGGCCACGGAGGTCGTCGCTGACGGGGGCTGCAAGGGCACTGAGGAGGTCCTCGCGGAGCTGGCGGGCCCAAGGGTGTACTTTGGGATCCGTGTTGAGGGCGCCCGATTCCGTGAGGGTGTTGGCGGAGGTAGGAAGGCCTTGCGAAGCACATCGATCTTCAATCTGGCACCGTCCAAAGAAGCCTGAGAGAAACTGTTCGTGATGTTCGACCTCTCTGCTGATGTTCTGCCACCATTTTAATCGGCGGACGCATAGTTCAAGAGACGTGGGGGCGATGCCCCAGACTGTGAACAACTCACGGGTGGTAAGGGAATGATGCTGTCCGTCGCTGTCAATGCAATGTGCATCGCCCATAAGCATGCAGCGACGTTTTGTTGCGTGGCTCACGTCAATCCGAGCCGTCTCAGCACGAGTGAGGACAAGCGCTTCCAGGCCTGACCATGCACGACTCGCGATATTCGCGAGGAAGACGAGGCGTTTGCAGCGTCTTGGTGTGGCTGAAGTCCAAAAATGAGTGAGCCGTGTCCAGCCCATGTTACAGGCTCGGATCCGTTCCTCCACCTCGCGAGTGTTGTAGCCGTCGACGTGAATGTAGGAGCCGAGGTGGATGAGGCTGGTCATGCAGGTGCCGCTGAGTTGTCGTTCGGCCTGCTTGGTGGCGTTGCTGGTGGCGAGGCGTACCAGTGTCTCCTGTTTGTGCGCATTCTGTGCGTATCCGCCTTGTCGGAGCTTGGCGTTCATGATGGAGACGTCGATGCAGTCGATCGCCAAGGCCTGTCTGAGTGTGCCGTCGGGAACTGTGAACACACGTACGATGTCGTCGATGAAGGCGCCCATGTCGATGCGGTGGGCGTTGATTTTCTCTATCCGCGGACGCGTGTCGTAGCGGACCTGTGGCTCCGCGCGCGCGTGCGTAGTGGGTGGTGGTGCACGTGCGTGCGTGCGTGCGTGCGTGTGTGCGTGGTTCTCGTGGTGGTGGTGGTGGTGGTGGTGGTGGTAGTGGTGGTGGTGGTGGTGGTGATGGTGGTGGTGGTGGTGCTGGTGGTGGTGGTGGTGGTGCTGGTGGTGGTGGTGTTGGTACTGGTGCTGGTGCTGGTGGTGGTTGTGGTGGTGGTGGTGGTGGTGGTGGTGGTGGTGGCGGTGCGGCGCGGTGGTGGCGGGCGGATGGGCGCGCGAGAAAGGCCCGCGCTGGGGCGAGAACGCCATCCTGAACGACGGAGGCCAAACACCGATCCGAAAATGAGGCCCACGCTGCAGCGGGAACACGATTCGGAACGATTCGGGAGCAGAAATGAGGCCGGCGCCTCAACGAGAGCAGCATTTTGGGAAAAAATGACGCCGGCGCCTCAGCGAGAGTCGTTTCCCGGGATTTCCCGGGAATCCTGTGTAAAAAGCAGTACGCGGAGGGTGCGCGGCCATCACCCGGACGCCATCAGGGGAAGAGGGAGAGTATTTTCATATTGAGTAATTGTGGAGGGGGGAGGGGGAAGGGGAGGGGGAGGGGGAGGCGGAGGAGGAGAGGGCGGAGCGCACGGGGAAGGACAAGGTACAGGCTGCACGGCCCCAGGGGGCCGAGGCGGGAGGAAAAGTGGGGACGACGAAAGAGATAGGATCTTCTCCGCCGCGCATCACCCTGGTGACTGCCCCCTCCGCGAGCGCTGCCCACCGCCACAGCAAGGCTGCGCCGCAGCTTGTCGTAGGAGGAACACCGAGTCGAGGCGCAGCTACGGCAGACTCCTGCTCTCGAAGGCGCGAGCCCTGGTCTCTGACACCGCTGGAGAAAGAACAACTGCATGAACATGTAAACGTTCGGACGTCCGTGCGGAATTCTTGCATCGGCACTGCTCCCCTCCCTGACGCGCGGGACGCGCCAGGCGCGATGCCAGTGGCGCCGCCAGGGGGGGGGTCCGGCGCCGATCCCAGAAGTCCGCGGGAAGCTCCGAAAATCTATGTATGCGGTATGCTTACGCAGCCGAAGAGAAAGCCGGTCTTCAGAAGCCGTTCCGCGGCGCGAGCTCATGGAACAACAAAAACGTCTTAAGCAACATCACCTCGGCGAGCCAGCACGCAACGAAAATGCCACGAACTTCCGCCCGCAAATGCGTGCGAACGCTGACGAAGAGGATGAGGAAGGAAGAGGAGGAGGAGGCGGCGGCGGAAGCGGAGGAGGATGCGCTCTCGGTCTGGTGACTTGCTTGGTGATGCATCATGGTGCATCGGCATGCGCACGCGCAGCGTTGGGCATCCACTGCTGCGCCATTGCGGCGCCTCCCAGTGAAGACAAGCTGTGGGGTGCTTCCGTGGCGAGCACGCGGGGTCCTCGGAGCACGCGACCGGCGCCCGACAGGTGAACGAGCACGCGACTGGCCAGCGCCCGACCAGTGAACGAACATGCGCAGGGCGTCTGACAAACAAAGATAGAATTCTAGAACCGTTTCCTGGGTTTCCGCTTTGGAGCTGCATTGGGCGTTCTAGAACTATTTTTTTGTCTCTGCGCTCGATACTCAAAATCTGTTTTGAAATGTCGTGCTGCGTTCTAGAAGAACGTTTGTGCTTCTAGAACGCCCGTGGCGGTTTCGGTTTTGCAACTGTTTTCTGCGTGCTGGAATTCGCGCCGCCGTTCAAGAATTTGTGTTGGCAATTCGGAAGAAACCGCAAGCAAACGACGCCAGCGGTGGAGGTTCAAGGCCTCTCGGAGTGCGACGGGAGGCGGCCTTGACAGGAGTTGGGACGGAAATGTCCTCAAAAAACATACTCTAAACACATAACCAAAAGAGTACGACGAATCGCCCCCAGACAATTGTTTACTGGCGGATTTTGGAAGAAGAAAGGAGTAGTCTAAAAAATCATCAAAAGGACGCGAGCATCTGCGTGGGTGCCCAACGTCTCACGTACGTACCCCGCTGCTGCTGCAGCTTGCCCGCCACGGTCCTGCGGACGAGATGGAAGGGTGGCGATCGTTTTTGGGTTTCTTGTGGAAGGTTTCTTGTGACCGGGGCCATACTGTATTTTTGGATTCCACCCTTAGCCCTCCACCCAGAGAAAAGGATCGATCCCTGGCGCGCGCAGCGTGCCAGGGGCGGAGCCAGAGGCGCCGCCGAGGGGCACAACGCCGATCCAAGAAAGCCGCGCGGAGCTCCGAAAATTTCTATTCGATGCCGCTCCTTCTTCGTCAACGGGGGGCTTCGGGGCCCCAAAACCGTGTGGTGACGGACTGCGCTGCGTGGTAATCTTGGAATCCCCCAAATCCTCACTGCGCGTCCCGTCACCGCACGGTTCTGGGACCCCAGAAGCTCCAATCGCTCGAGACATCGTCGGGGAACGCCCCGAGTCCCCAAACCGCGTGGTGACCCCGAATCCCCACTGACTCACCAAGCGGTGTGGTCACCACTCAGCCTTGGGGCCCCCGAGGGGGCGTTCAGCCTGGAACGCCCGCGCAGGCGCTGGTGGCGCGTCGGTGCGGCGCGCACCTGCTGCCGTTGAAGGGGCCCTGGGACACACAAATAAATACACACAAATAAAACGATTCCCCATATTTTTCGATATTGTCTGGGTTTTTGTCTTCCCCCCACTTCCCAAATTTTCGCACATTTTCTGGGGAATCGACGATTAATTGTGTCTGTGTGTTTTTTTCCCTCCTGACCTGTGCGGAGGGCGCCCCCAGGGCAGGAGCCGGCCGCCCTTCGATGGCAACTCACGGGAGCCTGCCATGCCATCTTGCTGGCCTTTGCGTCTCGACGCTCGCTCATCAATGCTGCTCGGCACTGCATCGACGCTACAGCGGCGCTATCTCCTCGCTCACCAGTCGCCAGTCAACGCTGGTGCGCTCTAAAAGCAGAACTACGGGGGTACACAGAGCTCCCACAACTGGGGAGCCCAAGAGGTACCGATACCGCTACTCTCTGGACCTCTCCCTGGCGTTCTGACAAAAATTTGGAAGCGAATCCAGCAGTGGCGACGAGGGCCTCCCAGGAGGCCAACAAAAAGGAGAACGAGGGAAGGGTAGCGGTATGGGTAACTTTTCTAGAGGTGTCCCACATGAGGTCGGAGTAGATGGGGTCGGTGGATCGCGCCGCATCGCCGATGCACCGGCGATGCATCGGCGATGCATCCGCGACGTCGGCGCTGCATTGGCGACGCAGGCGTGGCGAAAATCGGACTCCACATCGAGCCGCATCGGCGATGCATCGGCGATGCGGCGCGATCCTCCGACCCCGTCTGCTCCGACCCCATCTGGCCGAGACCTGGAACTCCCTCCTCCGAATGATCGGCTGCCGAGCCGCCCCGCCCTGGAAGCGCAGGCTCAGCGGAGGCGGCGGGGCAGGTCGGGCACCTTCGGGCGGGGCTCGCCCTTGAGGCCCGGCGGCGGCGGCAGCGGGAGCGAGCGACGGTCTGCGTCCCCCCGCGCGAGGTCCAGGCCGCCCCAGCTCGCCAGATGAAGGCGCCCAGGGGCACACAGATAGTCAGGTACAAATCCCAGGATTCCCAGTATGTTCCAGATTTCCTGAAGGTTCGTCCTCCCTCCACTTCCCATCTGTTCCAGACTTTCCTTGGGGATCGATGATCATTCGTGTCTGTTTCTCCCTCTCATGATAGAGGCCTCTCAGATTGTGGTCCGAGCACATGGGGTCGAGGGTCGAGATTCGAGGGTCTAGGTTCGAGGATCGACGTTCGAGGCTCGAGGATTCCAGGCCTCCCAACGGAGATGCGGCGCGATCCTCCGACCCAATCTGCTCGGACCCCATGGGGGAGGCCTGAATGGAGGGCGCGCTCAACATGTGCCCCTGGCCCGAGGTGCCCCTGGCCCAAGGGACCCCAGGATTTCCCAGGAGGCCTCCTCCTCATTCCTCCTCCTCTCCTCCTACTCTCCTCCTCCTCCTCCTCCTCCTCCTCCTCCTCCTCCTCCCTCCTCCCTCCTCCCTCCTCCCCCTCCTCCCTCCTCCCTCCTCCTCCCTCCTCCCTCCCTCCTCCCTCCTCCCTCCTCCCTCCTCCAGAGAGGCCCCAGCGGCCTCCAGGAGCACCCCTCACGAGACCCGGGGGCGGGCCCATGGGGCTCCAAGACGGCGCGAAGAGCTGGGGCGACTCGCCTGGGCCAGGGGGGGCACCCTGAAAGCAGCCCCCGGGCTTCGCGCCGTCGCGCCCCGCGACCCTCCTCCTCCTCCTCCTCCTCCTCACTCCTCCTCCTCCTCCTCTCCTCTCTCCTCCTCCTCCTCATCATCATCATCCTCTTCCTCCCTCCTCCCTCCTCCCTCCTCCCTCCTCCTGCTCCTCCTCCCTCCTCCTCCTCCTCCCTCCTCCCTCGCGCCAACCGCGCTGCCCTCGTCTGGAGGCGGGGGCAGCCGTCCCGGGTGCGGGCCCGCGGCGTGCGGCGGTCTTCGCGCCCGTGAGAGTGCCAAGGGCCCCCCGCTCTTGTCGGGGAGACGTACTGTGAAGCCTGCAAGGGGGGGCACCGACACTAACACCAGAAGAAGAAAAAACAAACAAAAACTTTTGGCGCTGCGCGCGGACTTCTTGGATCTGCGCTGGACCCCCCTCCCTGGCGCACGGAGCGCGTCAGAGGCAGCGCTGAAGGCGCCGCCGGGGGGGCCCTGGGCGCGGATCCAAGAAATCCGCGCGGAGCGCAAAAAGTTTCTGTTCATGGAGTTGTTTTGTTTTGCGGGAGGGCGATGTGTTGCCGTGGTCGACCTCTTCCTCGTCTCCCTCCTCCTCCTCCTCCTCCTCCTCCTCCTCCTCCTCCTCCTCCTCCTCCTCCTCCTCCCTTCCTCCCCGTCAAAAGAACGACTCGGGATTGGCTTGTCGGCGGCGCCTTGAAGCCGAGGCGCGGTCCAAGCATGGCGAGGACGCGAGGACTGCATACACGGCAGGCGAAGGCGGCACAGGGAGTAAAGGAACGGAAGGAGAGGGGCGCGCGCGGAGCGGCGGCCGCACCCAGAGCAGGAGGAGGAGGATCTAGGAGGAGGAGGAGGAGGAGGAGAGGAGGAGGAGGAGGAGAGGAGGATCGAGGAAGGAGGATCGAGGAGGAGGAGGAGGAGGAGAGGAGGAGGATCGAGGAGGAGGAGGAGTGAGGAGGAGGAGGAGGAGGAGGGGAAGGAGAGGAGGAGGAGGAGGGGACGAGGAGGAGGAGGAGGAGAGGAGGAGGAGGAGGAGGAGGAGAGAGGAGGAGGAGGAGGAGGAGGAGGACGAGGAGGAGGAGGAGGAGGAGGAGGAGGAGGAGGAGGGGGAAGGAGGAGGAGGAGTAGGAGTAGGAGGAGAGGAGGAGGAGGATCTAGGAGGAGGAGGAGGAGGAGGAGGAGGAGGAGGAGGAGGAGGATCGAGGAGGCTCGAGGATCCTGGGAGCCTCCTCTCCTGCCTGGGGGGAGGTGGGGGGGCGCCCCGACTTCGCGCGGGGGGCACTACCCAGAGCCACTCGCCAGCACCGCCAGGCAGCTCGATGCCCGGGAGATCGCCGGGCGCGGGCCGGCGCAGCGAGGGCGTGAGCGGGATGCCCTTCAGCGGGGGCGGCTTCCTGACGGGGTGCCCAGGGGCGAGGGGCGGAGGAGGGCCCCTCCTCGTCGCCCTCGCTCTCCTCGTCTTCGTCCTGGTCTTCCTCCTCCTAGTCCTCCTCCTCCTCCTCCTCGTCCCTGTCCTCCTCGTCCTCGTCCTCCTCCTCCTCGTCCTCGTTCCCAGGGTGTGATATCGTCGGGTCGGGCCGCGTCGGCACGGAGTCGAGGCCGAACCGTAGCGGCTGCGCCAAGATGCACGACAACGCCGTGCAAGCACCGGGCCTCGTCGGATCGCTGGGATAAGGTGTCGGAAACAATTAAGCAACACTCATGCAGAACATATGGTTTGAACCTCCCCCCCCTCCCCCCAAATGCAATGTTGGTTTCGGATCTTCCATTTTTGTGCCTCCGAGCGGTCTTGCGAAAACCTGACAACTTTGAATTGCGGGGGAGGGGGGAGTGTTGCTTCATTGTTTCCCTCAACCGTATCAAATCGAATCGGATCGGGCCGGCCGAAGTCGATACCGAATCGGGCCCGTCGGATGGAAGCGGCCCCGGGGACGAGGGAGGGCCGAGTCGAGGCTCGGGGATCGAAGCTCTTCGGGGTCCGCGGCCCCTCTCAGCCCTGCAGGTGCCTCCAGGCCGCGGGGGACAAAGAGTTACCCCTGACCACGCCCAACCCCAATCTGTCAAAGAAGGGGGGCAGCCGCGAAACCGAAGATCGGAATCAACCCAAGCCCACCACAAATGCCTTCGCGGATCTCTCGATTCGGGAGCCTCTTGGCAGCTCACTTGGACCCGAGAGGTCCCTCTGGAGGTCCCCGACGGGTCCCTGGAGAACTCCAGGGAGGCCGCGGCGGACCTCTGGAGAGATCTCCAGGGACCTGCTGGGGCTTCCGTAGCAGGGTCACCTAATCTTAGGTCGGGCTCGGGCCTGTCCCCCTACAGGGGGATTTTCAGCGAAAAATAAAGAATACTCAAAACATATTTAAAAGATGCCCCAAAATACTCAAACAATAGTTCACAGACTATTTTTTGCTATTTTTGAATATTCCCCCTGTAGAGGGACAGGCCCGACTTCAACCTAATCTCGCGCGTCGCGCCCCGCGATGCCCGTGCTGCCTTCGCGCCTCCCCGAGACCACCTCTGGCCAGAGCAGCCCCCTAGTAGCCGAGGCCGCGACGCGCGACGCGCGATGCTCTTCGCGACCCCGGGGGCGGCCCGGGCTTCCTGATTGAAGGGGCCCTGGGACACAAACAAATAGACACAAATAACAGGATCCCCCATGTTTTCCCACACTTTTTGGAGCTTATTTTCCCCACCACTTGCCATGTTTTCCCATATGTTCCTGGGAGTGGACGATGAATTGTGTCTGTGTGTTTCTGCTCCCTCCTGGCTGATCGACGGCGCTTCGTTGTCTGCTGGCATGCGTTGCGAGAGCTTGCCCGCAGGTCCGCAGGCCTGCGGCCGTTCTGCCGCAGCATGCGGACCTGAGGGGCAGCGAGGCACACAGGCCACAGGAAGCCTTCCGCAAGAAACCCACCCCTGAGACCCCAAGACGTTCATTGATGTTTGGTGTGGGAACGTCACGCTTTCCGCCGCAAAGCCAGCGAAAACCCGGGAAACCCAGGGCACTCTGGAGGCAAGCAGGGTGTTTCTTGGCAGGGGTTTCCACTGTGCGGCAGTGCTGCCATGGCATCCGGACCTGAAGGGCAGTGAGGCATAAGGCGCCCTGAGATCCGACATCGCACAACGCTGCGGCACCGCAGCACATCCGCCAGAAGCTCCCCGGCACGCGCCACATCTTTCAAGGGGCACGTGTCCTGCGGCCGGATCGATCCGCGACGGCCCCGGGGCCCGAAGCCAGGCCGAGACGCCCGGTGCGAGGCAGCCTGCGAGGCCCCCCGACCTCAGGGAGGGGCCGGCGACGGACGAAGGGAAGGGGGGCTCCCGCACCTCCCACGGCGCCCGCGGACGACTTCTGTGCACCGTGCCGCGTTGGCGCCTCTCGTGGCTTCGTCGACTCCCAGCCCAGGAGCGGTACGGTGCATAGCTTCCCGGCCCCCAAAGGCCGAACAAACTCTGCACCGTCTGAACGGAGTCCGGCCATGGTACGGTGCACGGGCGCCGTTCTCGTAACGGCAGCAAAATCCCGCAGCGATCCCGGGTCCGCAACACCCCGCACCGCGGGCGCGCGCAGCTACAGGCGGGTTATTGCGCACAGGACGCGCGACAGGACACAAGACTCTTCCGACGGCAACATGGCCTCCCAAACCACAGGACACAAGGGTACCCTGCCGAGGCCGCGACCGCGGTTGCCCGCGGCCGACCCGCAACCCCGCGACGGGCGGCGCACGTCAGACAGGACGCCAAGGGTATCCGACAGGCCGCGCCGCTCGCCGCGTGAGAAATCTTGCGTGGCGTGTCGCCCGCACCTACCCACCTTCGGGGGCGATCGCGCGACCTGTCGCCATGGCAGAGGACGAGAGAACCAGGGCGCGGCCGCGGACGTCGCAATCGAGAGGACGCGCAGACCACCCTCCCGCAGACCACCACCCTTGATTTCGCAGGGCCGACCTACTAATGGAACCCGACTGTACAAGACGAAGGCAACATCGAGACGGAATCGGACCGATAGAAATCCGAGATCTCTGGGAATCGGCGGGCTTGGAGGATGCATCGGGCGCCGCGGCCGTTCCCTAACCGTCCCGCAGCGCTCTGGGAGCGTTCCGAAACGCTCTGGGGCGGATTTGCCTCGACTCCTGGCCTGCGCGAAGCTATAGCACCGGGGGCTTCCCCGAAGATCGGCGTCGCCCTCCTCCCGAGGAGGAGGAGGAGGAGGAGGAGGAGCGCTCTGTGAGAGACGATGCTCCTGTGCCCTGCCATGCCAAGCGTGTCTCATGGAGAAGGCAGCGTGCAGAGAGAGCATGATGAGAGCGTGGATGTGAGAGTGGAGTTGCACTAGAGGTGAGAAGAGAAGAGGACTGAGGGAGGGAGCGAGAGTGGCTGCGGAGGATGTTGGAGGATGTGTGCTGTGTAGGACTGTGTATGGACCGTAGCCCGCAGAGACAGAGAGGACCGCACCAACCACCCCCCATAGTGAATGAACGCGCCTCCGGACACCCGCAATATAGCCCTGAACAGAGCACTAAGGCCCACGCCCGGACGCGAGAACCGTCCACTGGTAGGTCTGACGCGAGGGATGGGTGGACAAGGACGCTCTCACACTGAGGAAGCGCCGTGGAGGCCGTAGCGCGACCGTAGGGCAGGAGGACGGCATTGCTGAGGCTGTGAGAGGAGCGAGCGTAGCGCGACGACCGGCGGAGCTCCGCGCAGCCCGACTGCGCGGTGGCGTTTGGCGCCGGCAGCTCCGCCAGTCGCCGCCCTGCCCGAGCTGCCGCTCCGTTTGGTAGGCCAGGAGGAGCGGACGCGCAGCGCAGGGCAGCGCCGACGGCAATGGCGTCGTAGCGGCGCCATTGCTTACTCCTGGACGCTCCTTGCCGCCGCTGGAGAGTGGCCCTTGCGTCGCTCGCCGCGGTGCGGTGCGCCGGTGCGGAGGGAGCGGGGGCGGGGGCGACGGAGCGGCGGCACCAAACGCCCGGCAGTCGGGGCGCGCGTCCCGCCGTGACGCGGAGCACGGAGATTTGTACACCAGAGAGGCCGGAGGCGCAGCAGCCACGGCCCCCAGTGGAGCGGCGAAGCACCCAGCGAAGCACCAGTGGAGGAACGCCGCGGGGGGAAGGAGAGGGAGAGGGAAAAGGAGGGAGGGAGGATGCTGGGCCAATGTTCCACCACCGCTGCCATGGGTGGGACGGGGGAGAAGGGAGGATTGGGAGGTCCTCTTCCTCCTCCTCCTCCTCCTCCTCCTCCTCCTCCTCCTCCTCCTCCTCCTCCTCTTCTCCTTCTCCTAATAATAACTCCTCCCTGTCGCACCCCGAGGCCAGTTTTTACGGCGGGCCGGGCGTTTCGCCTGAGACTTCCTCACAGATGGAGGGCGGGTGGTTTTCAAAATGTGGCTCTCGCCTTAGCGCCGCGCACATTCGTTGTCAAACTTTGCCAAGAATTTCACGGATTGATGGCGGGTGGTTTTCAAAATGCGGCTCTCGCCTTAGCGCCGCGCACATTCGTTTTCAAATTTTGCCAAGAGCTTCACGGATTGAGGGCGGGTGGTTTTCAAAAAGCGGCTCTCGCCTTAGCGCCGCGCACATTAGTTTTCAAACTTTACCAGAGTTTCACGAATTGAGGGCGGTTCCTTTCCAAAATGTGGTTCTCGCCTTAGCGCCGCGCACATTCGCTTTTAACAATTGCAGGAGTCTCATGGAGTCCTAGGATCAACGTACCAGATATGGTGTTTTGGAAGGATTCAGGACTGAGCGGGCGCAGCAGTTATGTTGATTCGCTGTGCCGACGTCCCAGAAATGGCGTTCTGGTACGATTCTGGATCGTCAAGACGCAGCAGTCAGGTTGATACGCGGCGTTGAAATCCCGAAAAAATTTTTGGCACGCTTCAGGATCTTCACACTGTTGTCTTCCAACGAGGCAGTTCCCTCAACGGAAATCAAGCGGTTGTAGGGGCCTATGAAGAGGGAGCCTGGAGGGAGGGTTAAATCCAACATCCTTGATGACTCTTGGGTTTCCACTGGTCCTCCTCCTCCTCCTCCTCCTCCTCCTCCTCCTCCTCCTCCCCTCCTCTTTCTCCTCCCCCTCCTCCTACTGCTCCTCCTCCTCCCTATGGTAGTGGTGGTGGGCGTGGCCGCGGGGCCCCCGGGAACGGGCCCGGGCGGTGCCCGAGGGCTAGGCTCTTTTGGAGCAGGGGCCCTGGCGCGGCAGGGAGCCAGGGGAGGAGGGGGCGCGGGGTCTGCGCCGCGAGAGGGCGTGAGCGGGGTGCAGTTCAGCGGGGGGCGGCTTCCTTCCTGATCGGGGGCCCAGGGGCGATGGCTGGAGGATGGCTCCAGCTCCTCCTTCTCCTCCTCCTCCTCCTCCTCCTCCTCCTCCTCCTCGTCCTCCTCCTCCTCCTTGCCCTCGCCCTCCTGCTCTTCCGCGTCCTAGTCCTCGTCCTCCTCCTCCTCCTCGTCTCTCCTCTTCCTCACCTCTCCTCCTCTCCTCCCTCCTCTCTCGGCCTTCCTCCTCCTCCTCCTCCTCCTCCTCCTCCTCCTCCTCCTCCTCCTCCTCGTCCTCGTCCTCCTCCTCGTCTTCGTGCTCCTCCTTGGCACCTCCTCTCTTCGTGTCTCCTCGTCCTCGTCATGGTCTCGCCCTCCTCCTCCTTCTCTTCCCCCCCTCCTCCTCCTCCTCCTCCTCCTCCTCCTCCTCCTCCTCCTCCTCCTCGTCTTCGTGCTCCTCCTGGCACCCGGGGGCGCTGACCACGCCCGCCCGCCCGCCCGCTACGAGGCGCCCGAATTTCCATCTGGCGCAATTTTTCTCACCAAATCCGTTTTTGGCGACCCCTGGGTTCGAAAACGTAACGGCACCGCCGGGGGTCGAAAAAAAAGAAAAACACCGTCGCGGACCCAGAATCTCGAATGTCGCCCCCGCTTCCTGCTGGTCAGAACCAGTGCTGGGCCACCTCATCAGATTCCCAGCCGACTCCAAACCGACCTCATTTTCTTCCGTCGCCTCTTTGTGGCCTGCCCAGCCCACTGCGCTGAGGTCTCTCCTATAGGGACGCCAGCGAAAGAGACTTCGGAGACCGCGGCGCTACATTTGAGACTTCGAAGTGCGAGCGGAAGAAGAATGCGACGACCTTCCTTTCGGGCGAAGCCGAGCGGACTTGAGACATCGGCATCGCCCGTCTCAAGAGTCCCTCTCCATAGGGTCCAATTTTAGTAGAGGCCTCCTAGATGGGGTCCGAGTAGATGGGGTCGAAGGATCGCGCCTCATCGCCAATGCATTGCCGATGATGCATCGGCGACGCCGGAGATGCATCCGCGACGTCGGCGTGGGGAAACACGGCCTCCATATCGAGCCGCATCGTCCATGCATCGGCGATGCGGCGCGATCCTCCGACCGTATCTGCTCGGACCCCGTCTGCGAGGCCTTGATTCATGTCGGGCTTGTACCCCTACCTACAGGGGGATTTTCGACAAGAAATAAAAAGTACCCCAAGCATACCCCAAGAAGGTCAAACAATACTAATAAAAAAAATAGTCCCCAGACTATTTGTGGACTATTTTTTGACTATTTTTGGGGTATCCTTTATTTTTCGTCGAAAATCCCCCTGTGGGGGGACACGCCCGACAGAAGCCTAGAAATCTGGAACCGCAAGACTCACGAGACGCCTCGAGCTGCCCGCCCTCCTCCCGGCCGGCCCGCCCGCCTTGGCAGGCCTAGAGGTTGACACCAACACCAGCATCGGCGGTGTGCCTCCGTCGAGGGAAGAAGATCCCGATCTCGGTGATGGTGGTAACATTCTGGCTTCGAGGGTGGCCGAAATGTTACCACCAACACCGAAATCTAGGAGCATCTTCCCCCTGTGGAGGCAACCCCCTGTGTTGGTGTTGGTGCCCAGTTCTAGGCCTCCAACTCAGCCACGCGCAGAGGGGGGTGGGGGGAGGGGGGAGGGCTTCTTAGAAGCACCCTTGCTTCTTAGAAGGCGCGGGCCTTATCTATAGATGTAAGGCCGGCGCCTTCTAAGAAGCAGCCTGCTTGCAAGAAGCAGCCTGCTTCTCAGAAGCAGCATGCTTCTAAGGAGCCGCGTGCCCTCCTCCCGGCCGGCCCGCCCGCCTGCGCCGCGCGCCGGAGGGGCGCAGCCGGGGCCGCAGCAGCAGGCCGCCGGCGCCCTCGCGGCTGCCGCCGCCTGGGGGGGCACGGAGAGGTGAGCTCTCCCGGGCGGCGCGCCCTCCGAGGATCTGACTGGCCTTAAGTCGGGCCTGTCCCCCTACAGGGGGGATTTTCGACGAGAAACAAAAAATGCCCCAGAAAGAATCAAAAAGTAATGCAAAAATAATCTGGGGACTATGTTTGGAGTATTTTGTTACCCTTTTGGGGTGTTTATGGGGTATCATAATTTTTTCGTCGAAAATCCCCCTGTAAGGGGACACGCCCGACATAAGACTGGCCCGGGTCCATCCAAACCCGGGTCAGTCAGGCCTCGCAGGAGCACCCTGAGCCCAGCAGCCGTGTATACGCCCTCCTGGCCGGGCCAGGAGGGAGTGGCGTATGCGCCGCTGGCGGGTTCAGGACGGGTGTGGCCAGGGAGCAGCGGATGTGAATGTAGATTTATGTCGGGCGTGTCCCCCTACAGGAGGATTTTCGACGAAAAATAAAAAATACTCCAAAAATGCCCCAGAAAGGTAAAAACAAATACTCAGAAAATAATCCCCAGACTATTTTTGGTTGATTGTTTGACTAATTGTGTTTTTTTTGTCGACAACCCCCCTGTAGGGGGACACGCCCGACTAAAATGTAGATCTCGTCGCCCTGTGTCGGGGCTTCCCTGGGTCGCCTCGCTTCGCGCGTCGCGCGCCGCGATGCGCCACGCGCGCGTCGCCTTCGCGACCCCTCGCGCCGCCGCCTCTGCGACTGTCCATCGCTCGGACGTCCATTCCCTGCATTTTTTTCGGTTTCGTGCGTGGTTTTCGCCCAATGATCAAGGATGCTCCTCGATGGTCCTCGCCGACGGAAAAATGCACACGTCCGAGCGATGCCAAGGAGGGGGGCAGCTGCCCTGCCCAGGCCACGACGCGCGGGGCGCGGCGGCCTCCGCGCCCCCGGGGGGGAGGCTGCCGCAGGAGCTCGACCACGAGAAGCTTCCCACGGGAGGCCCAGCCCTGAGGCCCCAGGAATCAAGTCGGGCCTGTCCCCCCTACCAGGGGGATCTTCGACGAAACATAAAAACTACCCAGACATAATAAACAGATAGTCCAAACATAGTCTGGGGACTAATCCCACCAGCCCTCTGGGCGTCGGTGGTTTAGAGCGTTTCCTCTTCCACCCCTCCTTCTTCCCCTTCGGGGAGGGGTTTACCCCTCCCCCTACCCCCTCCCCACTGACCTGGACAGGGGGGGCGGGGAGCGGTCAGAGCGTCCAAAACGGCCTCGCCGAGGAAGCCAAAATCATTGATGTTATTAAGGTTTTGGGCCCATTTTGGCCCCCAGAGGGGGCAGCACTACTTGAAGCTCCCCTCTTCTTTGATCGATTTCCTCCAAGATGGCCCCAAGAAGCGCCCAGGAGGCACCAAGAGGCCCCAAGATGGCCCCAAGATGGCCCCAAGAGGCCCCCAGGAGGCCCCCAAGAGGATCCCAAACGGCCCAAAGAGGCCCCCCCGAGGCACCCAAGACGCCGAAAAGCCCCTCAGGACGACCCTCTACTCGCCTGGGCGTCGTTTCTGGACGGGCTGGTGGGGATACGCGAAGCGTCTAGAATTTTTGAATATTTGTTACCTTTTCGGGGCGTTTTAGTTTTTTTTTATTTTTCGTCGAGAATCCCCCTGTAGGGGGACAGGCCCGACATAAGCCCAGGACGTCCTGGACGTTTGGTGCGGGAGCGCCACGCTTTCCACGGCAAGGACCACCGAAGCACAAGCAACCCAGGGCACCCTGGAGGCAGGCAGGGCGCTTCTTGGCACGGGCTTCCGCCGTGCCTCGCCCAGGCGCCGCGCCCCGACCAGAACCTCGAGGAGAACCCAGCCGTGGCGACGAGAGCGCTCCGGGAGGGACGAGGAGGAGCAGCGGCATCGCGAGGGAAAGCGACGGGGCGGGGGCGGGGGCTCAGGGGGAAGAAGCGTCGGCCTGCAATCGGCGCTTCGCCGCCGATAGAGTGTCGATGGGCCCTCAGGAGTGACACCGCAGTGTCCCGGGCGGGGTGGACCATCGGGCCCTCGTCGGCGAGGAATGGAATGGGCGATTGGGGGTCGATGCCCCCCCCCTGAGCCTATCGAGCCTCTCCTTACGTCGGGCCTGTCCCCCTACGGGGGGATTTTCGACGAAAAATTAAGAAGACTCAACAAATACTCCAAAATGGCCAACAAAAATATCCGAAAAATAGTCCTCGGACTATTTTTGGACTGTTTTGGAAGATGTCCCTGTAGAAGGGCAGGCCCGACTTAAGCCTATCCTCCCTGCGTTGTTGCCCCATGAGGTGGCTTTCGGGTCATGCCTTGGCTCTCTGGCGGCGGGGCCTTCTCGGCGATGAATGGAATGGGCGATTGGGGGTCGATGCCCCTCCCCCTGAGCCTATCGAGCCTATCCTCCCTGCGTTGTTGCCCCATGAGGTGGCTTGCGGGTCATGCCTTGGCTCTCCGGCGGCGGGCCGTTCGGGACGATCCAGGCACCCACGGACGCCCCTGGGCGGGGGGCGCAGCTGCTGGAAGGCGTCCCGAGGCTGGGGCACCGCCGAGAGCCGACGCAAGCGCCCGAAAACTTCGAGCCGAATTATCCACCCCTCATCAAGATGTCCCTGCTATCGGTGTGTGTGTGTGTGTATGTGTTGTGTGTTGTGTTGTGTGTTGTGTTGTGTGTTGTGTTGTGTGTTGTGCTGTGTTCTGTTGTGTGGTGTTGTGTGTTGTGTGTGTGTTGTGTGCGTTGTGTGTTGTGTGCGTTGTGTTTCGTGTGTGTTGTGTGTTGTGTGTGTTGTGTGTGTGTGGTGTGTGTGTGTGTCTCTCCTCCCCTCGAGTCACCGCCGAACTCAGCAGGTCCCCAGAAGTCTCGACCCCCAAGGCCAGTTCTTCATCCGGCCCGAATCCTTTTTGACGTATCTTTCTCTCCTCTCACCGCCAGGCTCCGGGCCAAACGGCGCTGGCAGCGCCCGGGCCGCCGCGCGGTCGCCGAGCAGGGCCGCGATGCCCACGGCGGGCTGGCGGTCCAGCGCGCTCGGCGCGCCGCTCAGGCGCGTGGGCGGGACGCCGTCCCAGGCTGCGACGCTGGCCGGCCCAAAGCACACGGACGCAGACCCGCTCGGGTCATGAACAAATCACGGCTCTTATAGATATATAAATACATACTCACATACATACATACATACATACATACATACATACAGACAGACAGACAGACAGACAGACAGACAGACAGACAGACAGACAGACAGACAGACATATATATATATATATATATATATACACATATTTATTCATATATATATATATATATATAGAGGGCGAGCCGCTGGATGGCCCCAAAGGGGGGGTCCCACCCCCCTTTCCCCGATCCGTCGTCGGGGACCCCCCGCCACTCCCCCCCTTTCCCGGTCCGTTGTCGGGGACCCCATCCCCCTCCCTCCCCCCTCTTCCTGGTCCGTCGTCGGGGACCTCTCCTTTTCAAAAGGGGGAGGGGGTTCCGACCCCCCCCTCCCCTTTGGCGGCCAAGTTCGAACCGACCCCCCCCCCTCCCCCCCTTTCGCCACGGCGCCCCCTGGCTCCGAAACCCGACCCCTGCCCACCCCTAAAACTACCACACCGACCACCCGTAACCTTAACCCCAAACCCTAACCTTAGCCCCGAACAGTACTCAGTACTCATTATTCACTGCTCACTACCCACTACTCACTACGCGCTCCTCAGTAGTCACTGCTCACTACTCACTACTCACTATTCACAACTCACTACTCACTACCCACTGCTCGCTACCCACTACTACCCACTACTACTCGCTACTCGCTACTCCCAACTCACTAATCAATACTCGCTATTCCCTACCCACTACTCAATAGTCACTGCTCAGTAAACACTACCCACTACCCTACTCACTACTATTAATCACTACTCACTACCAACTAACCACTATCCACGACAGACTACTGAATACTCACAATTCACTACTCACTTCTCACTGCCCACCACTGACTACTCACCATGCGCTGCTCGCAACTCGCTTCTCCCTACTCCTTACACAATACTCACTGCTCACTATTCACTACTCACTATTCACTACTCCCCACTCGCTACCCGATGCGCAATATTCGCTGCCCACTACGCACTACTGACTACTCAATACTCCCTACTCCCTACTCAATGCTCACTTGTCACACGTCACTACTAACTACTCACTACTCATCACTCACTACTCACTACTCATGACTCACGACTCACTACTCACTACTCTCTACTCGCTGCTTCCTACGCACCACCCACTACTCACTACCCACTTCTCACGTCTCACTACGCACTAATCACTACTCCCTACTCCCTACTCACTACTCACTACTCGCTACTCGTTAAGTCCCTACTCGCTACCCACTACTCCCTAGCCACTACTCACTACTCATTCCTCACTACTCACTACTCACAGTGTCCAACTCGCTACTCACTATGCACTACTCGCTACTCACTACTCACTCCCCACTAGCCACTACTCACTACTTACGACTCACTACTCACTACTCACTGCGCACTACTCCCTACTCCCTACTCACTACTCACTCCTCACTACTCGCTATTATCTACTCACTACTCACTAACCACGTCTCACTACTCACTACCCACTACCCACTATCCCGAGGCCAGACCCCCCACCCCCTCTGCGGGAGAGCCCCCTCCCCGACCCCCTGTTCGGCGCCAAGAGGGGAAGGGGGGGGGAGGTTCGAACCCCTCCTCCCCACCGCCAAGGGGGGGAGACAGGGAGGGGGTCCGTACCCCCCTTCAAGGGAGGGGGGGAGGGGGGGGGTCGGACCCTCCCCCCCTTAGGGGGGGAGGGGGGGGTCGAAAATCTCCCCCCCCCCTTTGAAGGGGGGGGGGGGTTCTGCGAGCACACACCCCCTTTTCAATTACAGGGTCATCCACTGGCGCGCCTTCATATGTATGTATATATACATGTGTGTGTATATATATGTATGTATGTGTGTATATATATGTACACACATATGTACGTATACAAAGAAACACGCACGGCAACTCCCGTCAATTTTGAGCGGGGCCCGCTGTCGGCCTCGCCGCGGAAGCTGCCCACTCGAGACGCAAGGGCGCCTTCCCAGCAGCGGCCGCTGCCAGTCAGGGGCAGCATTCGCTGTTCCCTGTCCGACGCTGCAGAAAGCACTGCAGCACCGCAGAGAATCGCCGCCGGAGCCCCAGACCCCATCCTGCTGCGGTATTCTGAAGGGGAGCTGGAACACACAAACAAATAAACACAAATCACCAGATTCCCCGTATTTTCCCACGTATTTTCTGGATTTTTGTACTCCCCCCCACTTCCCATATTTTCCTACATTTTCTGGGAATCGTCGATCAATTGTGTCTGTGTGTTTCTTTCCCTCCTGATATTCCTAGAGCTGGATCGATCTGTGAGGGCCCTGGCCTCCGGCCTTCTGAGAACTGTTCTGAGCCTTCACCGAAGGCACAGAAAATCTCTCCAAGGCCGGAGCGCTTCTGAGAGGTCCCGCCGCCTTGAAGGCCTTATCCTCACAGCAGGAGCTCGACCACAAAGAAACCTTCAACAAGAAACCCTAACCCTGAGACCCGAGGACGTCCACTCATCTCTGGTGTGGGAGCGCCACGCTTTCCACGGCAAGACCATCGAAACACAAGAAACCCAGGGCACCCGGGAGGCAAGCAGGGCGTTTCTTGGCATGGGCTTCTATGTGATTCTTTGCTGATTCGGCGTTTCGACATTGGGCGGCAACGGGGGGGAGGGGTCTGGCTCCGTGCCTCTGTTCAATGCGACTGTTTGCGGCCGTGCTTCCTTACGGGGAAGACTCCACCTGCTCGAAACAGGCGCCAGAAACAGCCAAGATCTACTCCAGGGGGGGGGGAAAGGGGGTACGAGGGCCCGCGCCCGATCTGCAAAACCATGAATAAGAAAACGATCACCCACTGTATCCTAAGTCGGGCCTGTCCCTCTACAGGGGGAATCTTCAAAAACAGTAAAAACAATAATCTGGGGACTATCTTTTGATTATTTGTTTGGCCATTTTCGAATACTCTTTGAGTGCATTTTATCTTTCGTCGAAAATCCCCCTGTAAGGGGGACACGTCCGACTCAACTGTATCCCCCCCCTCGCTCGCCGCCGAACCTGGCGGCGCGCACGAGGGGGTGGGGGGAGGGGGGAGGGGGGGGCTTCTTAGAAGCACGCTGCTTCTTCGAAGGCGCCGGCCTTGCATCTGTAGATAAGGCCCGCGCCTTCTGAGAAGCAGGGGTGCTTCTAAGAAGCCCTCCCCCTCCCCCCGCCCCCCTCTGCGCGTGGCTGAGTTGGAGGCCTAGAGCTGGGCACCAACACCAACACAGGGGGTTGCCTCCACAGGGGGAAGATGCTCCTAGATTTCGGTGTTGGTGGTAACATTTCGGTCACCCTCGAAGCCAGAATGTTACCACCATCACCGAGATCGGGATCTTCTTCCCTCGACGGAGGCACACCGCCGATGCTGGTGTTGGTGTCAACCTCTGGGCCTGCCAAGGCGGGCGGGCCGGCCGGGAGGAGGGCGGGCAGCTCGAGGTGTCTCGTGAGTCCTGCGGTTCCAGATTTCTAGGCTTATGTCGGGCGTGTCCCCCCACAGGGGGATCTTCGACGAAAAGTAAAAGGTACCCCCAAAATAGTCAAAAAATAGTCTACAAATAGTCTGTTGGTGTCAACCTCTAGGCCTGCCAAGGCGGGCGGGCCGCCGAACCTCGGACCTCCAGCCCTCCGGGCGCCGCGGGGCCTGGGGCGCGGGGCGCCCGAGGGCCTCCGGCCGGCCGATGGGCAGCCGCGCCGCGCCGCGCCCCGGCGCCGCGGCCGCGGCGGCGGCCAGCGCGCCCCAGGCCTCGCGGGAGGGAGTCACGAGGAGGAGGAGGAGGAGGAGGAGGAGGAGGAGGAGGAGGAGGAAGAGGAGGGAGGAGGAGGAGGAGGAGGAAGAAGAAGAGGAGGAGGAGGATGACGAGGACGAGGAGGAGGAGGAGGAGGACGACCAGGGTGGCCGGCGGCCTCCCAAGCGAGGCCCGAGGCTCGAGGATGGAGATGATCGAGGCTCGAGGCGCGAGGCTCGAGGCTGGAGGATGGAGGCGTCGAGGCGTCGAGGCTCGAGGCTCGAAGCTCCAGGATGGAAAATGGAGGCCTCGAGGATCGAGGCTCGAGGCTCTCAGAGGGTTCGTCTTGCCTGGGCTGGCCAGGGGCCCCGGGCCCGACGCGCGGGGCGCTGCGGGCCCCCCCCCCACGCGAGCGCAGCGCCGAGGCACGACGGCCGCCGCCATCGTCGTAGCCGTCGCCGCCGCGGCCGCCGCCGCCGTCGCCGTCGCCGCCTCGATCCTCCCTCCTGGACCATCGATGCTCGTCCTCGATCCTTCGATCCTCGATCCTTCGCCGTCGCCACGCCGTTGCCGTCGCCATTGCCGTCGCCGCCGCCGTCGCCGCCACCCGCCGCCGCCGCCGCCGTCGTCGCCGCCGCCGCCATCGTCGTGGCCGTCGCCGCCGCGGCCGCCGCCGCCGCCGTCGTCGTCGTCGTCGTCGCCGTCGTCGTCGTCGTCGCCGTCGCCGTCGCCGTCGCCGTCGCCGTCGCCGTCGCCGTCGCCGTCGCCGTCGCCGTCGCCGTCGCCGTCGCCCCGTCGTCGCCGTCGTCGTCGTCGTCGTCGTCGTCGTCGTCGTCGTCGTCGTCGTCGTCGTCGTCGTCGTCGTCGTCGTCGTCGTCGTCGTCGTCGTCGTCGTCGTCGTCGTCGTCGTCGTCGTCGTCGTCGTCGTCGTCGTCGTCGTCGTCGTCGTCGTCGTCGTCGTCGTCGTCGTCGTCGTCGTCGTCCTCGGGCCCCGTGGACGCCCGCTGGGCCGCGTGCGCCGCGGCCGCGGCGGCGGCGCGCTCCCAGGCGGCGCGCGGCGGCGCGGCGATGCGGCGGCCGAGAGCGCGCAGGGCGGCCATGCTGCCAGGCGCCGCGCGGGGGGGCGGCGCCACGTGCTGGCGGATCCACTGCGGCTCGGGGCGGGTGCTCCGCCCTCTGTCAAAGCATGTTCATTCTCCGCCTTTCCTCCGCCTCCTCCTCCTCCTCCTACTTCTTCTCCTCCTCCTGCTCTTGCTCCTGCTCCCTGCCTCCCTCTTCTGCATCGTCTTTTTCTCGTCCTATGCCTCCTGCGTCCTACCCCTGTCACGTCCTTTTCCCTTTTCCTCCCTCTTCCGTCCCTCCGTCCGTCCGTCCGTCCGTCCTTCCTCCTCATCCTCTTCCTCCTCCTCCTCCTCCTCCTCCTCCTGCTCCGTCCCTCCTCCTCCTCCTCCTCCTCCTCTTCCACTCCTTCTCCTTATAAATAACCCCTCCCTGGCGCACCGCGATGCTAATTTTTAGGGCGGGCTGGGCATTTCGCCTGAGACATCCTCACCATATATGACCTGAAGCTCAAAGATGAGCAACAACTTCACATATGGAGGGCGGGTGGTTTTCAACATGTGGCTCCCCCCTTATCTCCGCGCATATCCGTTTACTTTGCAAGAGTTTCACGGATTGCGGGCGACTGGTTTTCAAAATGTGACTCTCATCCCAGCGCCGCGCACATTGGTTTTTCATAATTTGCAAGAGCTTCGCGGATTGCGGGCTGTTCCTTTTCAAGACGTGGTTTTCGCCCTAGCGCCGCGCACATTCGTTTAAACCATTGCAAGATCTACACGGGTTGAGGGCGGCTCCTGTTCAGAATATGGCTTTCGCCTTGGCGCCGCGCATACTCGTCTATAACATTTACCAGAGTTTTACGGATTCCCATGACTAGCGTACCAGAAATGTTTTGGTTGAAAGATTCAGGATGGTGCGGGTGCAACAATTACGTTGATTCGCGGCGTTGAAGTCCCAGGAATGGCGTTCTGGCACGAGTCAGGCTCATCAAAACGCAACCGTCAGGTTGATCCGTGGCGTTGGAGTCCCGAGAACAATGATGGCAGTAGCTTCACAAATGGAGGGCGGATGGTTTTCAAAATGGCTCTCGCCTTAGCGCCGCGCGCATCCGTTGTAAACAAATTGCAAGAGCTTCACGGATTGAGGGTGGTTTCTTTTCAAATTGTGGCCCTCGGCTTAGCGCCGCGCGCATCCGTTTTAGAAAATTGCAAGAATTTGTCGGTTTGAGGGCGGGTGGTGTTCATCATATCGCTCTCGCCGCGCACATCCGTATGCAACATTTGCAAGAGCTTCACGGATTGAGGGCGGGTGGCTTTCAACATGCGGCTCCCGCCTTAGCGCCGCGCGCATACGTATTAAAATATGTCAGGTTTATCACGGCTTGAGGGCGGTTCCTATTCAACATGTGGTTCTTGCCTTAGCATCGTGCTTACGTGCTTTGAATCATGCAAGAGTTCACGGAGTGGCATGCGTGGTTAACATAACAGAACTCATGTTTTAGAACGATTCTGGATTATCAAGGCGCAACAGTTACGCAGACTCGAAGTGCTGATGTCCAAAAGAAGGCTCAGGATCGTCAAACCGCGACAGTCAAGTTGATTCGTGGCGTTGGAGTCCCGAGAGTTGTGTTTTGCAACGCTTCAAGAACTTCAAACGGTTGACTCCTAACGGGGCACTTCCCTCAGTGGTAATGAATCCGTGTCGTGTATAGGGGCCTATGACAGGGGAGCTTGGCGGGAGGGTTCCTTCCAGTGTTATTCCAGCATCGTTTATGAGTCTTGGGTTTGCAGCGGTCCTCCTCCTCCTCCTCCTCCTCCTCCTCCTCCTCCTCCTCCTCCTCCTCCCCTTCCTGGCCGCTCTGGGCCCTGACCGAGTCGACACGTATCTACTTCAGAGCGGCCCGTGTCTGCGAGCCTGGCGACAAAGATGGGCGTGCGCACGGCGGGGCCGATCGCGGTCCTCCCGCGCGCGGGGCGCCGTCCTCGAGATGCACTCGCTCGAGCTGGGCGCGCTGGGCGCCGAAGGAGCTCGCCAGGGGCAGCCCCGCAGCCGCGAGGCGCTTCATCGGGGACGGGTCGAGGAGCGATAGAACCAAAGGACCCTCAGGCTGTGATTGCGCAACTGTTTTGCTCTCAGCCTGGCTCGTGGGGGCCCACGGTGCTAAAGAATTGCGAGAATGCTTCCGGATGCCATGAGCGACTTGCTGACTACTTCCGCCGAGAGGGCGGTGTAGCTCGCAGGCGGGAACAGGCGGTCAAGGCATGGGCGGCGTGCTGAAGGCATCCGATTCCGTGCACATCTTCACCTGCTGCTCACGCGCCGGCGCCGTGGCTGGCGCAAGGCTTCTGGACTGGACTGAGGATGCACCGAGGAGTCAATAATGCAAGGGGTGCCCTTGGCAAATTTGCCCATCTTTACCATGCGGTTTAAGTGTTGAACAAATATGATGCCTTCTGGATTTGGGTGGGGCATGCCCTCCTACAGGCGGATTTTGAGCGAAAACTTGCAAATAGCCAGAACATATTCAAGAATAGTCAAGAACAGCAGACAAGTCGCCCCCATACTATTTTCAGACTATTTTTGAATATTCCTCCTGCAGAGGGGCATGTCCGACTTGATTCTAGATCCGAGCCTCGGAGGCTTGCGCCAGCTTGAGCAGGGACCGACCGTCCCGGCATTCCTATAGTCCGCCCTACCACGAAATTTTCTTAGAACCCAAAAGTGTTCTAAGAACACAAACAATGTTCTTAGAACATGAGCCCGAGGTGCTAAACCAAGACAGTCCCAACCAGAAATGTTCTGAGAACATTTCGTGGAAACCACTAAAGGTTCTTACAGTAGAGGCCCTTCCACAAGAAACCCAACCCTGAGACCCCAGGACGTCCGTCGATTTTTGGCGTGGGAACGTCGCGCTTTCCATGGCAAAACCATCTAAACCCAAGAAACCCAGGGCACCCTGGAGGTAAGCAGGGTGTTTCTTGGCATGTGCCCCCACTGTGTAGGCGAGCCAGGACGCTTCGCCGCAGCTTGAGGCCGGCGTGCCGCGGGCCCGGCGAGGCCCCGGGCGAGGCTGCGGGCCCCGCGACGAAGGCACTCCACCCGGTGAGACGCGCTCTCGAGGAGCCGCGCCGCAGCCGCACGGCGACGGCCTTTTTCGCCTCCGGCGTGCCAGCGCGGCGGGGCCGCAGCCCTCCTCGAGGCCAAACTCGCCATCGCTCGGGCGTCCATTCCCTGTGCTTTTTGTCGGTTTCGTGCGTGGTTGTTTCGCCCAATGATCAAGGGTGCTCCTCGATGGCCCTCGCCGAAGGAAACATGCACACGTCCGAGCGATGCCGAGCAAACGCAAGCTTTCCCCGCGACATGGCGACGCCCCCGGGCCCCCCCCGATTTCAATGTGGGCGCCGATGCTGGCGACTGCAGTTTTTCTGTTGACCCCGCGGGCAGCGTTGCGCGCGTCCATCAACGTTTAGGTTGGGCATGTCCTCCTGCGGGCGAAACGGTCAACAAAATAATCAGAAATTGCCAGAGATAGGTCGGAAATTCGTCCCCAGACTATTGTTGGACTATTCTGGAATATTCCCCCTGTAGAGGGACATGCCCGACTCAAATCATCGCTGAAATTTGGGGGCAAGGGGTAGGATAAAATGAAGGGGCCCTGGGACACACAAATAAGTAAGTACACACAAATCACAGGATTCTCCCTATGTTCCCATATTTTCGGGGCTTTTGCCTTCCCCCCCACTTCCCGTATTTTCCTACATTTTCCTGGGATCGACGATTAATTGTGCCTGTGAGTTTTCTTCCCTCCTGATAAAGGCTGGCGTTTGCTCTCGACGGGGGCCGCGGGACGGCGCCGCCGCAGGCTCGGCGGGAGGCGGCGCCTCTTCGCAGCGACGCGGAGGCCGGCGCAGCCCAGGCGAGGAGCCCGAGGCGGCTTCTTGCCGTCGCTCGGACGTCCATGTCCCGTGCATGTTTCGGTATCGTGCGTTTTTTTGTTGCTCGATGGTCCAAGATGGTCCTCGTTTCGGTTTTTGGTTTTCGTGAGTTTCCTTTTTTTGTTGCGTGCGTTTTTTTGTTTTGTTTGTTCCTCGATGGTTCCCGCCGGGGAACAAAGGCACACGTCCGAGCGATGCCGAGGTCTTCGCCGCGGCCCCCCGCCCCGGAGGGGCAACGGCACGTGGGAGGATCGGCACAGGGCCAGGTCGGGCATGTCCTCCTACGAGAGGATCTGGGAGGAAAGTGCAGAATAGCTCAACGAATGCTCAAACAGTAGCCACAAATGGTCGAGACATCGTCGCCAGACTATTTCTTGACTGTGTTTGACTGTTTTTCCTGTAGAGTGACAGGCCCGCCTTGCGCATAGAGGTGGGGGGGATACATCGACCTGGCATGGCCGATACATCACATCGCACGTGTGTCGTCGATGCATCGTCGATGCAGGCCGCCCCACTTATCGTCTGCACATAGTCGATGCGTCGCCCTGACAGCAACAATGCATCGTCGATGCATCGACCGTTCGAGGTCGCTGCGTGCCCCCCACCCCAAGCCTACTATCCCCCCCCCGCCGTATCGTTGCCCCCGAGTCTTCCTCGAGCTAGTGGACAGCCTCGTGGAGGAGGTCGTGGAGGCGCGAGGCGCCCGAAGAGACGAGGATAACATCGGGTGAGATGAATCGAGAATCTCTGAGATCCGGCGGCTCCGGAAGCCGTATCGGGCGCCGCAACCTTCTCAGAGCGTTCTGGCGCCGCGACCTTCTCAGAGCGTTCTGGAACGCTCTGAGAGCGTTCTGGAACGCTCTGGAACGGAGTCATCCTTGTCCCAGCCCCGTTCGAGGTCGGATGTTCTCGGGACGCCAGCCGAATTTTCGAAATCCTTGGATGATTGTTGTTTCAGAGCTGTCAACACTCTGTTTGGCATGTTTTCTTGGTTCCGTGTAGTTGGAGGTTGTTAAGCTGTTGCCATGTTCCTAGCATGTATATCTGCACTGTCTCTTATTGTCTACAAGTATCCATACTGCGGCTCTGGCTTCAACCTGATTCAGTCAATGAAAGGAGAGAGAGAGAGAGAGGGAGAGAGAAATCAACCCCAAAAAAGAGGGCGAGAAGGCGAGGAGAAGAAGGGGACTCGCGAAAAACGCTTCTGTGGACCTTTTGGGGAGGGGTGGCACCGAGAATGAGGACGACGACGAGGAGGATGATCGCCCCTCTCCCCCTTGATTTATATGTTTTTTTCTTTGTCGCTATCCCTCTCCCTTTGCCTTGACATGATCCGTAGAGGGTCCCCCGGGTCCCTCCTATGTTTTTTTTCTGGTTTCCGGCGACGCGTGTCAACCAGACCTGGACTAAAATAATACCATCGTGTTATGCGCAATCGAAAAAAAAGTAGCTGCGTACATTGGAGGAGGACAAGGAGGAGGCTGCGGATGAGCAGGAGGATGAGCAGGAGGGAGAGAGCGTGATCCACCGCCGCCTTACTGTGGAAAATTCCCCCCCCTCTTCCTGTGGCACCCGGGTCCCCCTCCCCCCCCTCCGAAAATCCCCCCCCCCCGCTGGACCCCCCCCCCCTCCCCCCGGCAAGCTCCCCCGCCTCCTAACACCCCCCGCCCCCCCCCCCTCGAACCCCCCCGCCCCCAGAAAACCCAGGGGGGGTCACTACCGGTTCGAAGCCCCCCACCCCTTGAAAACTGAGGGGGTCACTACCGGTACGAACCCACCCTCCCCCCTCGAAAACCGGGGGGGGGGTCACTACCGGTTTCGAACCCCCCCCCCCCCCCACTCACCGCCGGCAAACGACTCCCGGGCCCCACCACCGTCCGCATGCACCACATCCCCCACTGCTGTCCCCAGCACCACTGTCCTCACCACCACTGTCCCCGCTGTTCCCACCACCGTCCCCACTGTCCCTACCAGTGCCCCGACCTCTGTCACACTGGTCCCACTGTCCCACCACTGTTCCCGCCACGGTCCCTCTCTCCCCACTTTCCCCAAGGTCCCCAACACTGTCCCGCTGTCCCCACTGTCCCCGCCGCTGTCCCACTGTTCCCACCAAAGTCCTCACTGTCCCAACTACTGTCCCCACTGTACCTCTGTCCCATTGTCCCACCACCGTCCTCGCCGCCCTCACCACCGTCCCCACCACCACTGTCCCCACCACATTCCCACTGTCCCACTGTCCCCACTGTTCCCACCATTGTCCCACTGTACCCACTGTCCTCGCCGCTGTCCCACTGTGCTGTCCCACTGTCCCCACTGTCCCCACCACTGTCCCACTGTCCCCTCTGTCCCCACCACTCTCCCCACTGTACTACTGTCCCACCACCGTCCTCACCACCGACTTCACCACTGTCCCCACCACATTCCCTCTGTCCCCTCACCTGTCCCCACCACCACCGTCCCCACCACTGTCCGCACCACTGTCCCACTGTCCCCGCACCACTGTCCCCACCACTGTCCAGCATCGGCAAACGACTCCCGGGTCCCCACCACCGTCCGCACCACATCCCCCACTGCTGTTCCCAGCACCACTGTCCTCACCACCACTGTCCCCGCTGTTCCCACTACCGTCCCCACTGTCCCCACCTGTGACCCCACCACTGTCACACTGTCCCCACTGTCCCCACCACTGTTCCCACCACGGTCTCACTCTCACCAGTTTCCCCAAGGTCCCCACCACTGTCCCACTGTCCCCACTGTCCTCACCGTCCCACTGTCCCAGTCCCCGCTGCTGTCCCACTGAGCTGTCCCACTGTTCCCACCACTGTCCCCACTGTCCCCACCACTACCGTCCCCACCAATGTCCCACTGTCCCCACCACAGTCCCACTGTCCCCACCACATTCCCACTGTCCCCACACCACTGTTCCCACCATTGTCCCCGCTGTCCACACCAGTGCCCCCACCAGTGTCTCACGGTCCCCACTCTCCCCACCATTGTCCCACCATGGTCCCACTCTCCCCACTTTCCCCACGGTCCCCACGACTGTCCCACTGTCCCCACTGTTCCCACCACTGTCCGACTGTACCCACTGTCCCCACCGCTGTCCCAGTGTGCTGTCCCACTGTCACCACTGTCCCCGCCACTGTCCCACTGTCCCCTCTGTCCCCACCACTCTCCCCACTATACTACTGTCCCACCACTGTCCTCACCACCGCCTTTACCACTGTCCCCACCACTACCGTCCCCACCACTGTCCAACTGTCCCCACCACTGTCCCGCTGTCCCCTCACCACTGTCCCCACCACCACCGTCCCCACCACTGTCCGCACCACTGTCCCACTGTCCCCGCACCACTGTCCCCACCACCACCGTTCCAACCACTGTCCAATATCCCCACCACTGTCCAACCGTCCTGAGGAGCGGGAATTGTTTGCCGGCGGCGGGGGGGGAGTTCGAACCGGTAGTGACCCCCCTCTGGTTTTCGAGGGGGGGGGGGTTCGAACCGGTAGTGACCCCACCCCTTGGGGGGGTTCGAACCAGTAGTGACCCCCTTCCCTGTTCATGATGGACGGGGGGGTGGGGGGAAGGGTTCGAACCAGTAGTGACCCCTCCCGGTTTTCGAGGGGGGGGACGGGTTAGGAACTCCCAGTGACCCCCTCCGGTTTTCCACCAGCAGCGGTAGAACACGTTCTTTCGCAGGAGGAAAAGGAGTAGAATGAGGAAGGAGGAGGACGAGGCCCTGAGGACGAACATCAACAGAAGCTGGAGTGGAGGGAGCGGGAGGAGCAGGAGGACCAGAGGAAGGCGGAAAAGGGGAAATGATGGGGCGACGACAATGAAAAAGGACTCGGATCCAGAAAAGTGGCCCGCGCTGAGGCGACAGCGCCATTCTGAACGACGGGGGCAAAGCACCGATCCGAAAATGAGGCCCACGCTGCACTGCAGCGGGAGCACCGTGTTGAAACACCAAAAAATCGGATTGCAAAACAAAATAAAACACCTACACAACAAAAGCATGTGTAACAGCAATACGCGGAGAGAACCAGCTACGGGGACGGACGGAAGGAGGAGGTGTGATAGAATTTGGGCTGGAATCGAAGAACAACAAACCACATAGACAATTGTCGCAAATCCGCGCTTACCCCCACACGCGTGTGCTTACGTACTGCCACGCTGCTTCTTTGATGGACGTGCGGAGCGCGCTGCCTCGTCTTGGTCCCCGCCCGCTCTCGCACTGCGGCCCCGCCTTCCGCCTTCCCGAAACTCATGTTTAAGGGGCGCAGAGCAATGAGGACGGCGAGAAGGCGGTGGAAGATTTGAGGGAGACCCTCATCCCCCTCCTCCTTTCCCATCCACTTCCTCCTCCTCCTCCTCCTCCTCCTCCTCCTCCTCCCCCTCCTCCCCCTCTTCTTCCTCCTCCCCTTCGGGGAGGGAGCGACATATGGGAGCAGGGTGGAAGTGGGGGACGAGGGAGAGCGCGTGGCCTGGTTCGGGCTCTGGAAGTTGAACGAGCAGACGAGGACGGCGTTCTCGTACCTGGGCTTCCATTGCCAGCTCGCGGACTCCCCGCCCTCCCCGTCAAGCCCCCCCTTCCTGGCCCTTTCGCCTCGTCACCGTCGCTGCTCTGGATGGGGCATGAATTGCCCCCCCCCCCTCCCCCACTCCGCAGGAGGGGGGGATGGGCGCGTGGTGTGGGAACGGGTGGGGGAAGAGGAGGAGGAGGCATCTGCAGACATAGACGTCGGATCCCAGAAGCTGCAAGTATACCGCCGTATACCCAAGGCGCTTGCAACGGCCCACTCAAAACCTGAGCCCGAGTCGGAGTTAGGGCACTTTGCAACGGAGAGAAGAAACCAGTGTCGCTGCATGCGTCCTCGAAGCAACGCACCAGCTGCACAGGATGAACAGGCCAACTGCCTTCTTTGTCCAGGAGATCTAACCAATAGACCGCAACACTCTTAGGCCTGGCAGAGTAGATGATCAGATTCAAGAACCGCTGCAACCAACATGTGAATCACTTTGGCACTGCATTGTAATGTATGAGGGGCGTGCAGTGCAAACAGCACAATCAAGTTGCCCCCCCCTTCGACACCAGGCGAGGAGAGTCGAAACGCTAGGGCAGATTATCCTTCAATGACACCCATGTACCGAGGCCGTCCTTGCGTGCGAATAACATCTGAGAGGCAAAACCTGTATGGCCGCCATCCTCGTTGCGACCGATCGCCAACAAATCGCCAAATGCCGTTAAGGCGAAAGACTCTTCACTCATGCCACCCCA